TCTGGAATTAAGGATATTGATAAAGTTGTGTATTAATTAGATTTCAAATATAAGACCAACAACATCATTTAAGTCAAAATTTCGTTGCTTTATATATAATATTGGAAGTTTTATATTCGACATCGATAAATAGTTCATCTTTGAACTTGATTATTGATTGTGCAAAATCTACATCTGTTAAAAATAATGAAAAAACTCGCCTGGAACTTATCTAAAAAAGGAACCAAGTGGATCTCCAGTGCCGTTAACTTGCATGAAGTACATATAATTCAAAAGTAAGTATCTTTGTATTTCTGAAAGATAATTCTATTAGTACAAAAACAAACTTATTTAATATAAAATTAAAAATCAATACACTTACGTGTAGCATCAATGATGCATTATTAATTTGAATGTATTATCTTATTAATACCTGTTATAAATCAAGTAATCGTGCTGGTTCTTTTCTTTTTCAAAGAGTATGCGTCTTTCATTTATATTGTTTAGAAATATACTGAGATCACCAGTAATTTGTTTGTTTTTTTCATATAAATAAAGAAGGGATGATTACATTACAAATTACAATCAAATCGTTCGTAAGTAGTGTCACGTCCTTTATTAACGTCAGGATTCTTTCGATATGGTTTTAAAGTTTCATAACGCTGAAAATATGGGTAGTATGCATTAAAATTGAGGTATAGGACATAGTAAATCATATGATCTGTACCTCATTTTAATAGCACACCACCCATATATTGATAAATCTTGCAATAAATAAATTTAAACTTAGTAATTTTTATTAATTACAAACTTGTTAAAATAATAATTATGTATACATACTTCCATTATAACCACGCGCATTTTGAAATGCTTCAATAATATTTAGTCAGTTTGTTGATATATCGCAAAAATACATTCTACAATTCATCAAATTCTATTAATTGATTTTCATTTCTTCATTTTCTGATTATGACAATTCGCAAGATTGTTTTTTATACATATTATTATCTCATTAGCAATAAAATGTGTCCGCACGAACATCATTTTCGCCAATAAACATTTGTTTATCCTGAATTTCTCTACATTTAGTACATCGTATTTTCATTGTATTAAGTAAAATACAATAATTCACACGTTTTATATTTATAAATCAAAAACTAAAAAAAAATGGATTATTATTGATTAAAAATTTATATTTTACAATTTAAATGGTAATGCAAAATGATTAATCATACCAATTTTTCGATTACTTTATATATTTCAAACTTTAATAATTTTGATATTTACAAAAAAAATGTATTTTTATGTAAAAATATTTACTTGGTAACTTTTTTTTTTTTTTATAAATTAAGAAAGGTTTTCTTTAACTATAATTTTAAAAGGTTAATTAATTTTTCTACCATATAACTAATATAGATGTTAACTTACGTAATTTGTAAAATGCGCCACGCTCAACAGCACAAACAGCACAGCCACTTTCGCGACATTTTTTGATAAGTACGCAGGGGAAGTCAAGTCAAGCTTAATGTTAATTATTCACAATATTATATATCGTATTTTAATCAAAGAAATGTAACCTTTATGAAAAAAATAATAAAAAATTAAAAAAATTTTGAGTTGTAATTGATACCGATGATCACAAGATGCCTGAAAGAACACATATTGACTTACGTCACAAATGTGCTGTGCTTTGTACATCAATATGATCACCTAATTTCAATCAATTGCCGTTAACAGGAGTCGTGCCTGAGATTGTTTGATTAGAACAATCTCACGCACTAACCATAACGACAGTACTCCTAAGAATTATTAATTTCTAATTTCATATATCTCTTAAAGCTTATAATTATTCACAATATTAAATTATTTAACTAGATTTTAATTTTTGAAATTAAACATTCCATAAATTCTACAAGCATCTTCTAATACACTTTTTTATCATTTCGAATATTTATATTTAAGACATATATGTTGGTTATTATGAACTGATCTTATATTTACAAAAGTTCCAAAAAAATTATTTCGTGTCGTGGATTATTTTAAAACATATCATAGAAATGATAATTACTTCACCCATATCAGTTTTACTTCGATTTCTCCCTCTTGAAGCATCTTATTTCTTCTCTCTCAATAGACTGCTAAACCTTGATGCTTTCTGAGAACTTAATTTTTAAAAGAAGCTGGGTAGATTAGAACATTTATGACATTTTAAATGAAAAGGTACTCTTTATTTTGTTAAGAAGGTACTGACTCTCGAAATGGTAACTACTCCGGCTATACAAAGATATTGGGAAGGAATAATATAGGAATGCAAGTTTTAAGAAAGGATGCGTGTAAATTCATGGTAATGCTTTTATCTAAAAATGAGACTGAAATATAACGTGTCTTTATTTCCTTCTGAAATAGATAACAAAAGATGTGTATTCAAAATATATCATGCCCTTTAATTTGAACTCAAAAGAAGATTTGATGGTGGAATGTGTTAGGTGGATATTTGTATGAAGGAAATTAACACATACTTCGAAAATTATAATCCTACCAATACAGTTGAATACAGTTGCTAGTATATAGGAAAAATCAACGAAAATATAGTGAAATCGGCGCCTACTCCAGCCAGAAAATATAATCTTTGGAATCTATAATCGAATTTATTATAATATTGGTTCTTGTCTAAAGGACGTCATAGAATAAACCTGTAAATATTATATTTCTAATACATTCAATGGGAATTTATCTTCATAAATAATGTTTACACTAACTTTACCGCTTATATTTTACATAATCGTCACATCCAATATTTTCACAGCCCACTTCACAACAAGCATTACGATCAATTTACGCCATTACCTCCTCCTTTACAAATATGGGTTGTATGCTATTAAAATTGAGGTACGAGACATATTAAATCATATGATCCGTACCTCAATTTAATAGCGCACCACCCATATCATATTATTTTGGCATGATTCGTATCTACCTTTTAGTTTGTGACAATCAATTTATCAACTTAAAATCAAGCCCTCGCCACATTTTTACAAGCAAATCTGGATCCCCTATTGTGAACACACATTCCGTATGGCCCGTAGAATAAAAACTATTTTTTCATGTCAGAATTGACAAACAATTGAAGGATCAATGGGTATTTGATGATACCTCAAAAGGTACTTTAAAAATAATATAATAATTTTCTGTATAATCATTTGAATTATATAAAATTTTATTTGTAATTTTAAACAATGATAAGTCTATTAGAGAATACAACATTCCAGACATTAATAGATATATGCATATCGAAATCACAACCAATTTTATTTAACAAGAATTCGATGGAAATTATTCATCATCAATGGAGAGAGGTCTGAAGAGGATTAATCTGTCAATTCGTAAATTATTTATGATTGTTCTCTGTTGTTATAAATTTCCATATTTTTTTTTTTAAAAAACTCTTTTCTAGTTACATACTCAAATATAGTTCATGTTAAAAATGGATTGCAACTGATTTGAAAAATCTGTTTTAAAAAAAAATTAACTGCGGAATTATTTTTCATTGGATTTAATTTAACACAATATCCCACACACACAATAGTGCTGCACGCAGTTCGTGACGTTTATTGATTATAAACAATAGAAAAAAGGTAAGCATTTATTTAAAGGGTAAATGTTTTTTATTGATAACAAATGAAATCTAACATAAATCTACGTAAATAAGGTATTGCCTCAATCTTCAGCACTATATACGATCAGATACGTAATTTATTATACACTTTCGTTATACGTTACAAATAAAAGGAAAGGGGTGAATGCTATACTAATACTATCTGTTGAATTATATAGGGAACGTCTGGAACACTTCTTCCTACTCAAGCGAAATCCCGCTTCTTTTATACTTAAAACCAAGCAAGGACTAATTGTTCGGAGGCCTTTTTGTCCGCGAAACATAATGGTCAGATGGCATATTGGCCAGGAGACAAATTGGCCGGTAGACAATTTGGCCAGGGGAAAATTAGGCCATTTATCTACAAAAAATCTAACTATATACAAAATTAAACTAAACAGAAATGGCACATAATGCCCCGAAACTAATAGAACACGATTGATTATTAATTTACTTTTGTTACATGAATATCTGAGGAACTAATCTTTTATACTATTTAATACAATACCAATAATTTTCATCGCAATTGAGGTTAAATTCTTATAAAATTAATTAGGATTAATTTCAGAATTTTATAATTTAAATTTAACTTAATGAGTTGAGTGATCGATCCTGAAACTTGGACATACAATACAGTATTGGAGGGTAAAAAAAATTTTTTTACCACAAAATTCACATTTTAGTTGTCATGTGGTAACGAAAAAAAAATATTGGCGAAACTGATGAAGATTGATTGAGTCCATGAAAATTTTTTACAAATGAGATACTATAAATGGTTTTTACTAGTTATACATCTCTAAAAAATGATTTTTGGAATATTTATTAACTCCGAAAATATGTTTAAATTTGGAAAATTTAGAACTACTTTTTCAAAAATTTTGTAACCTTATCATCTTTACAATAGAGAAAGGAAACTAAATACTAAATCTGGATTCATTTACATTTTCATGTTGTACGAGATCTCATTGATCTTATGGAAATCATCCCAAAGCTATTTATCGCGCTTCTACGGGAAAGCGTCGTTAAAGTCAAGAAAATGTGAATTGATTGTTTGATAAAGCTCTCTAATCATATCAAAATTGCGCCTTGCTAAAACTGGGCTCATTTCAACTTTGGGAGAAATAATTTGTATATAATAAATATTTCCGGAAGTTTCCTAAAAGCGCCTAAAATATTGTGTCCATGACCTTATCATGTTGTACGAGATAATGTTAAAAGACATTGACAACGTTTTAGCAAGGAAGCGCCGCGTTAATTCCTTGCGTATATATAACCAAGGTCATGCAATAGATTTTGACACCATCTAAATTTTATATATTTGTTAAAAAACAAAAAAAAAATATCATTTTTCCAACCTTTTCTTATCATGAAAAATTTAAAATTAAATTTTGCGTTATTATTTTTCATTGTCTTGATACATTTTATTCAAGTGGGACTAACTCAAACTTCTTACAATTTGCCTAGTAAGCCGAGAACGCGATAATTCTTTGTTTAATTATAACTTTATTTAAATAAATTTCTATTACTCTTACAGATGGATGGTTTAAAGCTGGATCTCATCGAGAAAATTACCTTATGGGGGTTGATTCCACGATATTTTATGGGGAAGCTGTAAGAACTTTATAAATATTTTTGAAATCCCCTGTCAACAAGTTTAATATATTAATTGATAACCTTTTTTAACAACCGGACAGCCTGGAAGCAGCGGTTCTGTAAAATCAATTTCAAACTTTAATGGCTTTGGTACTTTGATGCAAAATTTTTTTCCCAAAGAATACCTCGACAAACGTGTTCGATTATCAGCATTCGTAAAATCCAATGTACGAACCTAATTAATTATTAAAAACATAATAAATAATTCGATTGAAATTTTTTTTTATTGAATTTGATTTAAATTTAATTTAATTTTTGAATTGATTTTTTTCTGTTCCAGAATGTCACAGGTTGGGCTGGTATGTGGATGCGAGCCGATACAGTGTCAAATCAATATCTTGATAATATGCTAAGTCGAAAAATCACAGGTAATTAAATTAATACACTTAGATTATTAAATAATTATAATAATTATCTTCTAATATGTAATTATTAATTAGGTACTAGTGATTGGACATTGTATGAAGATGTTTTAGATATTTCCGAATTCGCGACTAATCTTGCCTTTGGCATTTTATTATCTGGTGAGCCTTATATTGACAATTTATTTCGTACATACACTATATAATATTTATCATGACGTTATTTTAGGTGAAGGAGAAGTTTGGCTTGATGAATGCAAATTTGAGATTGTAGATCCCAAAATTGTCAATCTTACTGACGTAGTTGTATTCGATGAAGGCGTTGAAGCTAATCCTAATGCACTCCAATATCCAATTAATCTCTCTTTCTAACTTCTACAAATCCTAAGAATTTGTTTGATTATCTTTTATGTTTGCTTTTTTATCGCATTGAGTTATTTTTATAAATATTATATAAATATATTTTTTATTTGTCAATAAAGTAAATATTTAAAAACATTCTTTTATATTGTATAATACACAAATAATTTGTTAAAACATAAATATAATCAACGCGAAAAATATTGTTGTGAAGTATTTTTTTTTAGCACTTGATTCATGCCGCATTTGCTTTTATAAATTTTGTTCAACACTATTACTTGTACGAACTATAATAATATAAAAAAGCAAGTTAAATTTTGATTCATAATTTTAACTTTGTTCTATTTCTTCTGCTATCCCTATTAAAAATTTTAGCCCGAATATATCCATTAGTTCTCCGTAGCTTACGTAAAATTTCCGTGAAAATGAGCCTTTCACGGAATTCGTATAAATGATATGAAATTTTCCGTGATTTAAGATTAAAATTCCGTGAAAAGGAGCCCTTCACGGAAAAAACGTGGAAAACAAAATACGGATCAACTTTTTTTATAGGGTATTTGACTAATTAACTATATGATTGCTGTTATTTTATTAAGTATTTATGTAATTATTTTATAAAATATTTGTGTTTTAGTGTCTCGGTAGAAATTTCTTAAGTATTTGTCTTAAGATATATTATTTTGTTTCGATTATTGTTTATGTTTTTTGGAAGTGGAGACGATTTAAAAACACTGATTTGGTAATTTATATTCTGTAGTTGGCTCAGTCAGTCGTTAGGCCCTTTTTGAGTCGACTTATCTATTGACTCTCATTTTAGTCAAAAATAAAGTTGGCAGAATCCAATTCGGCTAAAAATTTGAAACTTTTATTTAATTGATAATTTCACGATGTTCTGACATTATATCAAATTTTCACTACCTCCACCTATATTGTATTATTGTTTCAAAAAGCAATGCCATAATTAGTGCCACCAAAAAAAATAAACTAATTATTGTTTGACAACCGAAATATGAACATTTTAACTCTATAAACTTCAACTGGAGTCAACCCGATACTGGATGCAAGTCACATAGAGTGAAAATTTTTTGGGCGATACCGGGAAAGTTGTTCATTCACATTTGAGATTAAATTATTTTGCGCAATTACTTGTTCCCATGATTAGATGCTGACGTTTATACTAAAATGTTTCAATTGATGAGAAGCGTTTAAAGTATGTGAGCGCGACCGCGAAAGATAGATGATCTTGTATTTTCTTTTGTGAAAACTCAAAATCGGCATTTGTAAATTTTTTGATTTTAGCCAATCAGAAACCTTGTCAATCAACCATTATTTATTTTTTTTTTTTATTTGACATAAATTTATTCTTTCTATTCTTTCGCTATATTACATCGCATATAAATATAAAAATAGGAGTAACAACTGCATAGTTTCAGAATTATTTGTTATGAATTGAACTTTATTCTCTTTAATTAAATTATCATTTCTTGTGTTACTTGATATTTATTTCTGGTTGTAGGATTACATAATAAAGTATCCCAGATGATTCTGTCCAATATTTCATCAATAAAGTTCATATCAGTGGGGATAATCTTTCCTTTTCTTGCTGTTTCTTCACATTAATTTTCTTATGACACATTGCACTGGAATAACAGCATTGTCAAGGCTGCTAGCAATAATCATTTCATTATTATTATTGACATTGTTTTTCTTGCACAGTTAATTCCTAATAAAAAAAGTTTTATCTGTTGATTCAATAACTTGGAAGGTAGTTTTGATGAGAATTCCATAAATAATTAAAATATATTGTTAATAAAATAATAAAAAGAAAGTGAAATCAATTGTGATTTTAGACTAATTACAATACTTAGACCTTTTCTTCAATGCGAACCCTCCAAATTTCTTTTTTCTTTCCTGGAAAAATTTTATTCCTAATAAATTAGTGAATAATGTTATTTCGATTTTTCCTACATCCTTCCTCCCTGCTAGTGTGTATTTATTTATTAATATGTTGTGGTGTTCGTGATTTGATGTTATACACGCATCAAAAATCTTTATGTAGAAACTTGCAAATAATAATAAAAATTTTGGTCATAATGCTTGAACAACATAGTAACGTTTCAATTATGTCACTCATGAAAAGAATATAAAGAATTTAATCGTTACGCTGTTGACGATCGGATTTTGTCATTTCTGGAAGTTCTGACATTTCTGACTTTTATTGAATACAACTGTCAGTTGTGGGCGATATATCATTCATTTCGACCCTTAATGACATCGTTTTAATAAATTTTCCCGTTCATCAATTGATATTTTTAAGGAAATACTCATGATAAAGCTTTTGGAAGTAATAAATATAAGAAAATTGTAAACAATTGCATGCATAATAATGATATTGTCACACTTTGCATTATTCGACGCGATTAATTAAATGCATGTATGCTAGTAGTTTTATCCAATTCCAATTCAGATCGCCCATATTTGCATCTCGCATATTTTTGTCATTTGAGATTCTCGTTTTTCGATTGGTCAATAATCTATCACAATTTTTTTTTTAGATTAATAATGGATTCCAATTATGATTCATGTAAAGTTTTTTTTACAAATACATAAATTTTCATTAAGATTTGTAATTCCGAATGATTTATTATAACGTGTCACAAAGTTGTGATTTTACAAACGTTTCAAAAGGAACAAATATCGCCACTTTTTTTATTTACTTACGACATTTGTCCCTTTAATTTCTTAATATAAAAAATTTTTAACAAAACAAATGTCTTCTGAATCTTCTGGCGGAAAGCATTATCTGAATAGATATTATATAGCAATTAGTCGAGATGGAAAATATACTGCCACGTTCGATGCAGGTAAGCGATATTTGGAATAATGTTTCATTCATTTTTTGAAAATGTTTTATATTTTTTATTGTAATTTAGCAACTCGTCACGTTAAAATTTTAAAAACTACCGATCATTGGAATGAATCATATGAAATCAATGAAACCATTGCTCACTTTAAAATAAAGTATGATGATTTATCTATCCAAGAATTTTACAATTATCCGCCGCCATCCGAAAATTTGAATGAAAACGCCAAAGTAAGATGGTCGATCGATATATCCAATGGAGACGAAAAGTTTTTATTTATAGCAGCATCTCGAATACAAAACCAATATATGAAAAAAAAGGAGGAGAATATTAGTACAATGATTGCAAAAAATTTCGTTGAAAGTAATAGAGAAAGTCGTATAACTATTTTCCCGGCAATTTCAACAAATATAACAGATATTAATACCGCTATTTATTGTCTTAAATTAAAAGTTGACGATAATAAAACTTCTATTGAAGTTGATAAAAGCTTTACTAAATATTATCATAATAGATTATCAGGAATTTGTAGATTTGCAAAGGAAAAGACAAAGGGAGAGACAAAGGAAGAGACAAAAGAAAAGACAAAGAAAGATGTTAAATCAGATTATAATTTAAAAAAATTTATTTTATTGAATTATAATGGCATATATAGCTTTAAATATAATGAGAAACATAAAAATTTTAACAATGCAGAGAAATATAATTATCCAAAAGAGGTCAATGATGAATTAACAAATAAAAAGAATCAACATGATTGTACAAATTTGCTCTTGTCACACATTTATAAAAAATACTTTATTATTGAAGATAATAGCAAAAAAGTTCTTGAAGGTAAATAACTAATAATACATTTAATATATATCTTTAATGAATTAATATTAACTAATATACTTCACAGTTTATGATCTAGGAAAAATGAAATTGGAAACTACAACATCAACAACAAAGTTTACTCGATCGATAAACAAGAATTTCACTTTTGTGTTGCTCAAGAACCTCAATCTATTAGGTGAGATATCGTGCGATCAGTCATGTGAAATTTCATTTAAACTATAATTTGTTAACATAAAATTTAATAGGATATTCCTTATGGAACATGGATCGAGAATCGCATCAAAATCATTTGAAAAATTCAATATACATAAAATCCATTTAATTGAATTCATCAACAGCGATGAGAAATTATTTTTGATTGTCAGTGATTCTACAAAGGATCTAAAATTTATCATTTGGGATATATATGATACTGACAAGGTTGATATAATAACATTAGAAGGACTTACGTCACAAAATCTTAGTACTTGCTTTGCAAGTTCCTCTGGAAATGTTGTACTCGTTAATGATGAAGGTAAAATTATATCAATTAGTAAGATGATTGAGAAAAAATCCGAAAAAGAAAACATTGAAAGTAATGTAGAAAATTCAGTTTTTGAAGAATATATTCCAGAAATTAAAAAACCAACTTCATTTAAAAAAATTGGAAAATCACACTATATACTTCTATGCTAAGGAAATAAATGTAAATGATAGTTTTGAGTCAGTGGGTAACAAAAAAATATGAAAAAACTTCTTTTTACCTCTGTAATAATGATTCAGAAGCTTTACAACTTATAGTCGGTAGATCTACAATTCAAATCTGGCATCAATTCAAAAATGATAAAAAGAAAAAGAAAAAACATCTTCCCAATAAAGGAAAGCCGTTTCTAGAATTTATTTGGACAAATGGAAATCCATATAATCAAGAAAATGAAGAAAATAAATTACATATAACTAGTGTTCGATTTGGTTTAAAATATTTTCGCTTGGTGGTTTATTGGTACGAAGGTTCAAGCAATGAGAAAGAAAATAAGCAAGAAAAGACGCAAAAAATGAAAAATATGGAATCAATTGAAGGAATGGCAATCAAAATAAAAATAATTGAATGGAGGGATATTAATGAAAGATTGGAATAAGATATGCATGTGATGCATTAGAATTCCTTAACGGGCGTGTAAAATCTTTGACAAGTTATGATAAAACACAAAAAGTAAGATGAGGTATTTGAATTTTTTTTAATAGACATTAATTAACAAGCCTTCTTTTGCAATATATAGTACAATGAAATAGTCAAGTGTATTAATCATGTAATATCGAGATTTGCGGCAAAGCGACCACAACGATACATATTACTAGATGTTCGCTATCATGTTATGAAGAATTTAATTCTTGGTAATTGTAATCATTTAATTAATTACCTTTTATTTGGATTCGACATTGATCTTTATATACCAAAATGTAAGTTTTGGAATGATGAAAATGAAGAACGTAAATATATTATAATAAATGAAACAAATCAAGCAAATATAAAAATTGATAAAGCTAACAAAGTTAAACCCAAATCTTAATTATTATACATTATTGGTCGATATATTTAAATATTTTATTTACGTGTAGTTCAGAAAGAGAAATTTAAATATTCAACGACAGATATGAATTTAGCAATTTATAATTGCAGAGGTAAAACAAATTTATTAGCATTGCTGTATAATATTGACGGAAGATTAATAATACTATTTTTGTAGATCGTGGATTAAATATATATTTTGGAATATTATTATTTATTTTATTGCTAATTTGCTAAATACGATTTTTGATGCATATACTTTAAGTAATATGTTAAATTATGGTATGTTTTCATTATTATAATCTTATTAATTTGAATAGATTGCATTGTTGAATTGATAAAGTTTATTCATAATATAGAAACTTATACCAGTATTTTAAAGAATGAGTGGCACACATTTGTGGAGGAAACTCCAATAAGTCCTGAGAAAAATCTATTACAGAGGATTCTGAATTGGGTCCGGTCTGAGGTTTATTTAATAAAAATATTTTTAAATTAATCGAGAACGACGGCAAATATACTAGGTTTACCAAGGGTGAAAAAGAAAATGATTACAAATTAATAATTAAACATGTTCTATTGTTTTTATTTATACCACGATGGTATAAATCTAACAAAGATAAATCAACATTAATTAAAATAATTACGTATAATGATGATGATATATTTGAATTCCCAGTAATCGAATGCATAATTAATAATTTTGGCCTAGTGCAAATGGTTACTTTTTCGGTCTTTTTCTTCGATTCGTTATTTTTGGATTTTGTTTTATTTTAATTAGTTTAGTATATATCGGTAGTATCCCTGCAGAAGGACTTGAATATGTTTTATCTTTGTTAATTGGTGTATTCTATTATTTAGCAATTTATCTACTTATTACTGAATTGTTGCAACTTTATCATCATGGATATAAAAAATATTTGAGCGTAGGATTTAATTGGTTTGATATACTTTCAATTACAATGCCTGTGGTAGTAATGACAAAACTGCTTATTTATAAGTATAAATTATCTAACGGTTTTGGAAGTGTTGAATTAATAGACTCTCGATTAATTATGGAAATATCTTATTCAAATTTTATGATTTGGATTGAATTTAAAAGATTATGATTATTTTTTTCAATTAATTACTTATTTTCAATTTTGAAAAATACTCTTAGATTTTCTATTTCCGTTTAATACCAAGTAATGAAAAATATCAAATTTAAAATAATGCTCGTGACGATCTAGAGTTCTCTTACTAATTTTACTAATTTCTTTTTTTTTTAAAAAAAAAAAAAAAAAATTGCTCCAAATAGAAAGCTTTATTTTTATTCATTGTATCGTAAACATCTGCAAAAATATCTATCGTTTTCTCATATTTTTATTCATTATAATTTTTGGATTCTCACATACAATGTAAGATTATTTTTTAAGCCTTTTTATATTATTTTACAACTTATCAAATAAATTTGTTTACATGTAGGTTTGTTTTATTAAAAAATCCACAAATTCAAACAAAAGATTCTACATTAAGTGGAATTGCTACAAATCCAACTACAAATGAAATACTTGAGGTTAAACTAAAATCAGATTTTGATCGTAATGATCCAAATGATAATCCATTTTCCTTTTTTCCCACTTCATTAATTGCGACATATTATTGGATTAATGGTGATTTTGTTCAAAGGAATCAGTTTAATTCTTGGTTTGTTGAAATATTTACTATAATTGATAGCATTTTGGTTGTAATAGTTTTGCAAAATATGCTGATTGCTATTATGGGGTAGGTTCTATTAATTATATGTTTCTAGTTGTAATTTTATTTAAGGTTTCTTTTTAATCTCCCTTTTGGCTCGTTTAGTAATGTTTATGAAAGCGCAGTGGCTAAAAGTAATCAAGCCATATTAAAATATAAAGCAATACAAATATCAGAACATGATGATTTACAATATCGCTTTGAATTTTGGAATCAAGATCCGGCATTTATTCCATTCAAAATGCGTTTTAGAAATTTTAAAAGTGCCGTTCATCTTGATAAAAATATTTCAGAGTTTGCTAAACTACTAGATTACGATCAAAAATCAATTTGGGAATTTGATAATGAGGGATAGTCAAACATTTATTTATTTAATTTAATATACCTTATATCTTAAGTATTTATTTTGTCTGCATTGGCCAAAAAAAAAAGTTAGATGAAGTTATGACTGAAATACTTCTCTAATTAAAAGAATTAGAACATTACTTATTTTTTTTTAAAAAAAAATTATTTGGAAGGAAGTAAATAAAGGTTAAATAAAATAAATAATTTATTTTATACTTGCTAAATTTTTTGTAACTCGCTTCGTCGAAAAAAATTAAGTTTATAAGCGACTCTCCGATTTTGTTAGCGTTAGTATTTATATCCCGAAGAAAAGTATTAAAATCATTGGTTTATCTTAATTAGAAAATGTTCCGCAATCCCGACGGACCAGATTCGATTTTTTTAATTCGCTCGATTTGGATTCAGATTCGTCAGTTTGGATTCGGGATCACTAATAAAATAATTTTTACATTAGCCATGAGGAAACGAATTTTTTTTACAATAAGAATGTCTCGCTCTTCAGAGTGCCTAAAATCTTTAAATGCAGTAGATTTATAGTTTTTAACTATCAGATTCGGATTTCTCCCAAGTCCGAACACTAATAGATCGATTTCAAAATTTTTTTTTAAAAATGAACTTTTTTTTCGAACGAAAAAAGATCGACAGACATAACGTAACTTGTTAGAATTACACAAATAAATATGCCTGACGACACCTCCTTTCTTACACTTTAACAAAAATTATATTTTATCAAATATCAAAATGACCGCATCAAAGCAAAAAACACAACGACAGGCCATATTACATTTCTGGAAGCAAGGAGTAAGAAATGCTATTGAAATAGAAAGATTGACAAAGATTCCAATTAGTACTGTCTGCCGAAACCTTAAAAAAATCCAAGATACTAGGCTAGGGATGTAAAGCATAAAGGTGGTAATGGGGTATTAAAAAAATAATGACAAATGCATCTCGGCAATTGGACAATACATTCGAAGGCAACCTTTAGTTTCTGCTAAGTCTGTTGCTGATAAATATAAATAGGAGTAGATGTCTCCCGCTATACTGTTTCAAGGCATTTGATTGACCTTAGATACCGAAATGCACTTTCCCTTTGTACACCAATGTTAACCCCAGTCCATAAGCAAAAACGAGTTGAATGGGCTCAAGATCACAAGGATGATGATTGGAAAACAACCCTATTTAGTAATGAAACATCTTTCCAATTATTTTGTAACATGATAAAGCATTGTATAAAAATGCAAGGCCAATTCGTCTACCAAATGACCAAAGTAAACTATTCGCTTTGGATGGTTTTTGTTTTAGGCACATAATGGATGGAAAATTCTATACAGAAATATTGAAAAAAGCATTTCCAGGAAGTGTGCAGTATGTTTACGAAGTAATTGGCAGCTGCAACAAGACAATGATCCTAAGCATACTAGCAAAGTAGCTAAGAAATTCTTGCTAAAGAAAGTTCCAGCCGTTATGGATTGGCCTTCTAATAGTCTATATTATACATGAAGTCGAAATGGATCATTTCGGATATCTGAAATGGTCAAAATGGTTGAAATCATTTTTTTTTATTTTTTTTTATGTTTTAACGATGTGGTACTGTCAGTACATTTTATTAATTTATACAAAAATACAATAATAGTAAAA